CATTCACTACACAGGCAATCCAAGTCGCTTCCTTCAACACCGTAGAGTTTGAGTCTCAGCCTTCTTCACATTTTCCAGTTCTCTTTCGGACATTTGTTGTTGAACAGCATCACAACCACCATTGCTTTTTATAATCCCCACCTCTAATTTTGACCGTTTCAGTCCCTTTAAAATCAACAGCATAATTTCAAAGCATGCAAAAGAATATTGGCAGTTTGTTGTCTGCAGTTCCTATTTGTTTGGTTATACTGCTGGTTTCATTGTTTTTTCTTTACTTGCAAGAAAAAATATTCCTGAAGTTAATCAGCTACTTTAGGTAGTTTTTGACACATAGGTGCCTAAATGCAGGACTCACCCGTCCCTGCTGGCTATCAGTGTTTTATGATCTATTTCAAGAAGTTTGGCTATTTCTTTTCAATTTTTAAATAAGTAAAGCATGGTTATATTCTCATTGTAAAAATGCAAATCGTATAGAAAAATTTAGGGTAAAAAGTGGAACTCCTTCAACACCCTCCTCCTAATTCATAAATTTAGTTTTCTTCCCCAAGGAGATCACTCTGTGTGGTGGGTAGCTTCCAAAATTTTACTTGTGGATTTATGTGCACACAGATGTGTGTATACCAATTACGAGGTTTTTACATTCAGTAAACCATTCTGTTACATGCTCAGTAGCCCTTTTCATATAAGTTTGTTTTGGAGAGCTTCCCGTGTAAATTCCGTAAATGGTGGACATTTAGGTTGTTTCTAATTATTTGCTCTTACAAACAGCGCTATAATTAACATCCTTGTAAATGTCTCTTTGTACATATGGGCAAGCATTTCTTTAGGGTAGCTATCTATGGTTTGGCAATTTCTGCCGCCTTTAATTGCATTGCCTGGTATCTGGCAGACGATCTTCCGCATGTACAATAACTTTTCATGCCTGTGCTCCATTATAGTGTAAGTTTTAAAAAGAAGTTCTAAGCGACAATTAGGAATCTAAGTTTAAGTTCAAATTCTGTGTGGATTGCTGTGCAACTGAAGTGACACTTGAATAAACATCTATACACATGACTAAGTTCATCCATGCACAAGCAGTTATGGGCAGCAGGTAAGCCCCCCCTCCCCCAAGCACCCATTGTAAGGCACATCATGATTTTGAAAACAGTAAAATATGAGAAAATGCATCTTAGAATAGAGGAGTTATGGTTTTATTTTCCCTAAAGAAGTTGCCTGCTGCTTCACCCCCATATGCAAAGGTCCTTTCCCTGCAAGCCCATACAATTGCTTTACCATTAACTCATTTCCTCCATAGGTGGGTGTGTCTCTAGGCTAAATCTCTGTGTCTGTATTAGTTCCGGGAGCAAGCTCTCCTTAGTCTTAATTTTCAGAACTTTCTTGCACATTTGTTTTCTGTCTACTGCAGGGAACTTTTTTACACAGGACACTTCACTAGCTGTTCACAGCTGGCACGATTTTGCATCACGATGGTTCCGATGTGAGAATATCAGCAGCAGTCAAGACCATATTTTCCTCGGGACCTGACTGAGCGTGCCGTCAGCACGAAGCAATCTCGCTCATCCCATGATGAGTCCCAGCATCACTGCTCCCACATCAGTTATGCCTGAGTCCTGAATGGTGTCAATCCAAGTTGAAAATGTGCCAGCTTTCTTAACATTATCCCTAACAGACTGCTTAATTAACATGCTGATACTGTCAATAGTAGATCTTGCTGGTGTGCTAGAAAGGAGACTTGTGTGGCCCATGGTTGGCGTATCGCTCTCTCTCTCTCTCTTCCTCTTTTCCCCCCAGCCCCCGCCCCTTGCTTGACCTCTTAGTGTCCGTAGCTCAGGAACTGGACTTGCCAGGAATGAGATGGGAGGGACCAGCGAGGACTTCAGTGGAATATGGCAGAAATCAACGTTCTGGATGAAATCATGGAAACGAAATAACTGAAACAGACCAGCCACCTCGCTACTCAGACGCAGGGCTGGCAAGCAACACGTGCATACAGCAGGTGCCCCGTAAATGGACAACCAGTATACACAGTCACCAGAAGAGGTTACAGGACATGTGCCATTTGCGTAGGCAGTAAGAATGAGGGTGTTCCAAGGGAGGAACCTGGGGGGTTGCCATCATTTTGAGGTGGCTTTTAGGGTTTTCTTTCTTTTTTTTCCATCCAGGCACTTTAGATGAGAGGGCAGCTTTGTCATTCCAAAAAGCGTCATTCCTGGAGGGGCTGTCTGAATGGAGGGAGGCTGGGTTTTCATTTCCTTTCATACTTGATCTTTCATATCAAGTCATTTTTGTATTTGAGCCATAGTCCTGCTCTGTCCTGGTGTGGCTACATTGCATATTTGAAAATTGTGGAGAGCAAGAAAGATGCTACCGTGAACCTAGGGCTGGTCGACCATCACTTCCAAATCCACGATTTTTTCTCTTTGTCTGTCTGTCTGTCTCTTACATACTCACATGTGCACGCACACAATTGGGGCTACAGATGTCTCAGCTGTTCCTGGCTCCCCTCGACCTGGCGTGCGCACTGGTTCAGAGGCTGTGAGCCCAGAGATCCCATGGAGATGCTTCATGCAGCTCCTCCTTTTACACCCAGAAGTGGGGGAGGGAGCCGAGTTTGCAGAGTGAGCTGGCGGCTCCTGACTTGAAGCAGATGCTGGTGCCCAGGCCCACATTCCTGTGGCCTGTCTGTCCTAGAGTGATGATGGTGGCATAGCGGTGGTGGAGGCTGCCCTTGGAGGGCAGAGACTGATGCCTTTCAGGGCAGAAATCCCCGATGTCCTCTCCAGTGGGTTTGTTGGGTCTCCTGGGAACTGCTGGCCGGGCAGCCCAGGGGGTAAAGGATGTAGAGCATTCCTGCAGCCACTGAAGGGCATGTCGCTAACACATAGGCCTCGTGCCCTTCTTCCCAAGGCCACTGTGGGGGCCCTCTATGGTCCTGAGCGCTGAGTGAGGTGGGGGGTGCTGGGGCAAGAGCTCGCTTCTGAGGGTGAGGAGGGGGAGATTCGGTGCCAGGATTAGACCCCAAGCCCAGCTGGCCCGAAACTGGGGCTCCCAACCTCTCTTCCTTGACCTCAGATTCACTTTCCTAATTCTGTCGGTCTCCAGTTGCGTGAAACACGGGGTTTGTCAACATCAGCACCACGGACATGTGAGCTGGATCGTTCTCTGTTATGGGGCCTGTCCTGTGCATTGTAGGATGTTTAACAGCGTCTCTGGTCTCTGCACTAGATATCTATAGCAACCCCCACACCAGATCATGATAATCAAACATGTCTCCAAACGTTGCCAGATGTCTCACAAAATCACCCCTGGTTGAGAGCCACGGTGTAAGACGGGTGTGCCGCCTGCCGAGTGGCCAGGAGTGGCCTGGTGCAGAGGGGCCTGCCCATGGTTACCACTGCGGCTGAGTGTCTGGTGGAAACATGAGAACTACTCAAAGATGGCATATGTGCTGTAAATACATTTAAGAACTGTATTTGGCCTCCTGCTTTTCTCTCCAGAGACTGCAGAGCCTCTCGGTCTTCCCCTCTGTTTATTCCACCTCCCTACTTTATTGAAAAAAGAGGCTGAGGCTCAGAGACCCCCAGGGTCTCAAGTCACCCCTCACCTGCAGAACCCTGTCCCCCAGCTGCGAGCGCCCTGGACCCCTCCGCTCCCCAGCATTGGCGCAGGCACTAGGAGCATCTGCGGTCCTCCTCCCACTCCACCTGCCCACTAGGCCCTGCCGCCCTCCAGCTCCCCAAACCCTGGTGCCCCCCCCCACTGGAGGGAGTGGGGAAGCAGCAGGTGTTGATGCTAATCAGCGTTCACAGCCCAGAACTGCAGTCGCTCCCAGGCTCACACACTCCCCAAAATTAAACACTCATTATACAAAATTAATTGACATTAATTAGCAAAAATTAAAACTTTAAACACAGCAAGGCGCTTGGTGGGGAGGAGTGAAGCAGGCGGGCTCCACATTTGTCACCCCCTACTCCCCACCCACCCACCATCCCCAAGTCCCCCCACTTCCATCCTGGAGCAGGGTTGGGCGAGTTCAGGCGAGGTCAGTGCACACACCCAGCCTAGGGCCCAGGCCCAGCCAGGTGCGTCCCAGTTGAGAGGAGCCGGAAGAGGTTCCTATGCTAGTCACCAGCTGATGGGCGGCCCCCAAACTCTGACACCCAGCGCTTTAACTAAGGAGCCAGGAACCCTTCCCTCAGCCCGAGTCCCCACGATCTCAGCTGAGATGAGTGGGCATGGCCAAAGGAAGAAACCCACCACGCAAAGCAACAATGTGGAAGATATTCCTGCGGTTTTGCCTGACCCCCATCCCCTCTTCCCTGTCTCCTGGGTATCCAAAGGGTCAGGGTCCTTGGCCCCTCAGCTGTGCCTCACTTTGCTTTGTGACCTCAGATAAATCACCCACCCCCCATACACACGCATCCTGAGCCTCAATTTTCCATCCATATGATGAGGGGGCGGTGCTGGGTGAGCACTGAGGTTTGTGCCTGCTCTGGCACCTGCTGTCAGGGAAGCAAATCTCTGGGAACTTGATTCACTCTGAGGAGCAAGGGGCTGAATGTGGGGGACTGGCCTTTCAAGAGGATGCCCAGAAAGGCCGCCCAGGAGACTGGGTTGCTGACAGTGGAGCATCAGGCCCCAGTGGGGGCTGTGTCTTCAGGCCAGAGAGCCTCCCCAGAAGGGCATCCATTCGGCCTGCCTGCAGCAGCCAGCCTCCTTGATAAGTGATCGCTCTCTAAGCCCTGAACCATTCGTTTCCTATTGCTCCCTAACACTGGTTATTTTCCACCTTTGCTCCCCAGGTTCCCACAGGCCCCCAAATCCCTCACCAGGCAGAAAGGCACCATACCCACTGCGTCTGAACAGAAACTGGGCATCTATTCAGAACTCTGTTGCTTGGGTTAGGGAGGCCTGGATGAGGGTGGAGCCCAGTGTCTCCCCCAGGTGGAATGCCACCCTCCACCCTCACTCCTGCTCCCTGCTCCCCTCTCTCTCTCCAGCCAGCGCCAATATCTGTAACGTGGTCCTGATGCGGTACGGGGAGCTGGAAGAAGGGATCGATGTCCTGGATGGTGATGGCAACCTCGTGGGCTCCTCCAAGATTGCAGCCAGACATGTGGGTCCTCCCAGGGCGCGTGGGGCTCGGGGAGGCAGCAGCAGGGAGGCTGTAATTTTGTCTTAATTCCAGTATGTTTGTACATCTCCCTGTGCTTTTCAGCCTTCTTCCTAATAGTGATTAGTGGCTCTCCCTGCTCTGGCTTCCAAGTGCCGGGACAGGAGTTCAGCTGTGAGGTCGTGTAGCATTTCCTTCTGCTCTAGGCCCTGTGTCCCCTCTGTGAGATCCTCCCACGGGGGCCTCAAGCCTTGTCCCTGTCAGCGAGGCCTTCGCCATTAGCTTCCCATGTGGGAAGACCCCTCTCTCATCTCAGTCCTCCCCGCCAGTGTCTCAGGGAAAGTGAGTGCCCAGCCGAGGCTCTTAAGGGTCAGGGGCTTGGGTTGCCAATGCCGACGCTGTGTCCTCTGCTTCCTGCACACTGGCTCGGGCCCGTCATTCCCACACCTGTCAGGGAGACTGGAGGGACCCTCTCCCGGGCTTTTCTGAGGCTGATTATGAAAGACCCAAATTCCTGGGAGAAAATTTCTGTCCTGAGCTCGTCGTCAGAAGGGATTTGGCCTCAATTTCCTATGCGATACAACCTCCTATCCAAGCCTATGCTCTTTCTTGACTTGCTGTGAGGAAGACCGATGACGTCAGCTCCTCCTTTTGGTCCAAATGGCAGGGCAGCCGAAGCTCTTTGGCAGCCCTGGGTGTTCCTTAGCCTGGCTCTGGCAGTCCCTGGCTGTCTAGGGGAAGACCTAGGGATCTGGGGCTACGAGTCATTCCTGGAGGGCTGGGAGCCAGTGGGGTTAAACAAACTCCCCACAACGACCATTAGAGCGCACACATGCTACTGAGCTGTGCCCTGACTGCGCTCCCCTGCCCAGGAATCCTAAGTGTCCCCAGAGCAAGGCCCCAGGCAGACCCCTTCAGAGACTGAGCCGAAACAGCAGAAACATCTCCCCCTTACAAACCTAGCCTTTGGTCGCTAAGAAAGGCTCATTCCAGAGCCTGGAGATGCAAGGTCTTTAGAATCTTTGTCTTTAAGGGATGTCAAAAAAAAAAGTAAATCCTGGAATCTCTGTCTTCCCTCAGCACCAGAGGCTCCCTGGGCTCAGCCGGCCCAGCTGTTTGTTCTGGTCCTTCCTTTGCCTGCTTTGTTTATAGAGATTCTCGAGTTCTCCCCACGCCTTCTCCCAAACCCCTGCACCCTCCACGCACCTGAGGCACCTCCTTGGGCACAGGCCCCTTCCAGGGGCCAATTCTGTGTTGCCACCCTCCCTCCCCCTGCGTGGCAGGCGATGGGGATCTGCTCTTCAAATGTGTGTGGTGAGAAGACGGGGGTGACTTTTCTCTGTTGTTTGGAATATGGCTTCATGAGCAATTCCATGAATTATTCCACTCAGCCAGATGTGCTTAGCAGTGATAGGCATGCATGGGGTCTCTGGGGTGGGATGTGCTGCCAGGCGGCTGTCCCCCAACCTGGGAGCCCCGCTCACCACAGCCTCTGCTCACCCCTCAGGCCCTGCTGGAGACCGCGCTGACACGAGTGGTCCTCCCCATGCCCATCCTGGTGCTCCCTCCAATCGTCATGTCTGTGCTGGAGAAGTGAGTTGGGGGTGCAGGACTGGGGGGGCCACCACTGGGGCGGAGGGTGGAGGGATGGGGGGCAGCTGGCAGCCTGCCGGGTGTGTTCAGCCTCTCCCAGGCAGTGTGACTAGAATCGAACTTATGAGTTATACTGGGCAGAACCCTGTGCAGGGGAGCGGGGTCGGGGAGGTCCGTGTGTGCGTGTGTGCATCACTGTGTGTGCGTGCGCATGCCCTGCTGGTGCACAGTGCAGGACCAGCTGTGACGAGCCTGAGGGCTGCGGTAAGGAGACTAAATTTGGAGCCAGCACCAGCCTTTCAGGCATCTACCATGAGGCAAGTCACTGCCTCACGGAGCCTCAATTTCTCCATTTATAAACCACGAATAGTACCAACCTCCCTACCTCCCTCAGAGGAACATTCTGAGGACACATACTTGTCATGACGGTAAAGAAATAAGGGAACACAATAATAAAAACAATGATAAAGTGACTCAATTAATGAGTGTGAAATTGAGTCGTGAAGACTAAAATGCTCCTAGAAGGAGAAACTTAGCAGGGAGGGGGGCCAGAGCCCGCCTTCATCTAGTTTGGGCAGGCCCTGAGGATTAGGGCAAATCCTGGAGGGAGGGAGAGGGGAGGGCCTGGGTGGGGGCAGCAAGGTGCATAAAAGCCCGAAGGTGCAGGTAAAAATGCGGAGGTGACTGCTGTCTCCCTCCTGGGGGCCCGGCCTGGGAGAGGAGTCGCTTAAGGCACTTTTGGGCTTAGGGGCATGTAGGGTAAGGACAGAGTTGGGGGCACTCCATCGGCGGTTCTGGAGCAGGGTGTTCCCAGTTCAGATACCTTCTTATTCTCACAGTACAAATTATGATAACAGCTAATATTTATTAAGCACAAGACTACATCCCAGTCCTCTCTCAGCCAGGCCTCTGCCCAAATTCTATCTCAGAGAGGCCCTCCCTGACCGCCCTGTGGAGGCAACAGGCACCCCCTCCCCTCCCACTGCCTTATTTGTATTCACAGTACTTAGTGATATCTGAGATTCTCTATCTAGTTGTTTATTATCTGTCTGCTCCACTATAATGTATGTAATCTCCATGAAGGCAAGTAAATTCCTTTTATTTAGTGCCCTGCAAAGCATTGAGCGCAGTTCCTAGCACATAGTAGATGCTTAGTGTTTTGTTGAATGAATGAATGAAATGAATCAGTTACCCTTCCCAACAGTGCCATGAGGTAAATATGCTGTCTGATTGTACAGATGAAGAAAGAAAAGCAAAGTGTTTATCATCTGCTTACAGCCCTGTACTCGGTAATGACAGAGCTGGGAGCGGCCCAGGAATATGGCTGCAAAGCTGTGCTCCTCCTCCCACACTGGCTGCCTCTTGGGTCTTCAGATCACATCACCCAACCAGCGTGTCTTTGGGTCCTGCCCTGCATGGGACTGGGGAAGAGTGGAGTTTTGAGCCTGACCTCAGAAAGCCTGTATTATGATAAGGGCGATGGGTGTGACGCAGACACAGGTCAGCTGCAGGTGGGGAGAGGCGGTGCGCGCCCAGGACCAAGGTGACCCTGCGGGGAGAGAGCACTATGGGCCCAGCAGCAAGGAGGGCTGGTCCGGAGGAGAGGGGCTGCAGCTGACTCTGAGAGCAAACGAGGATTTTGGCAGGAGGGTGGGCTTCCTGGGCATGATGTGCGCCTGTTGCCTAGACATCGAGGAGTCCAGTCTGACAGCAGCCAAGTGTGCTCATTGGGGCTAGCGGATGAGGGGCCTGCTGTCCAGCAGAGGAGGTGATCCCTCTCTGTCCCTAAAAGAGGGAGGAGGTGGGGGGGGGTACCTGAACAGGGGCATGGTGTGTTGAGCACTGTGATATAAAAAATTAGCCTCATATGGAAGTTACAAAACTAAACAGATCCTGGGAGCATAATTGCTTTTGTGCCCTGGACGCTTGTATACGTAGCTGTCTTGTGAAATGTGGCTGTCCCCAAATAAGAGCCACTGCAAGAACATGCAAAGGACATTGCGGGACAAATGAGGAAGGCAGGGCTTCTGTCATCTAGGCAGCTGAATCCCGAGCCTGGAGTTCACTGAGGGGAAGCGTGGTCTGTGATGCCTACCCGGTTGGCATGTGAGTGGGGTTTGCAGAGAGTGGAGCTCCCGTTTTTTAAACTCTGCTTTGAGAGGCACGGAGGTGGGGTGGGATGGTTCTAGTTCTGAACCTCCCTGGCCTGGGATCTGCCCAGAGTCTGGCTGCCACGAGTCTGGCTCACTCAAGTCCAGAGAAGTCTCTTGGGCATGTAGAGACGGGTTGGCTTTGTACTTGCTTGGTCCTTCCCTGAAGCCTCTTGAGGGTCCCTGGGAAGGAGAAAGAGTCCAGCCTGGTCCCCCTAGGAACATCAAAATGCAAAAGACCCAGTCTGTACCCTCAAATACTTACTCATTCACATGGGGGACTGCGAGACTGGGTGGTAAGAGGGCCAGTGTAGCAGCACTAGCTGAGACTCCTGGTAGGAAAACGAAATCTGGCTTCTTGCTCCACCACTTTTGGGCCAGGCTGATCCAAGAGACTCCCCCAGCCTCAGTTTCCCACCTGAAAAGGGACGACTCTGCCCTGCTTCTCCACTTTGTTCCTTCCAGCTTTGCATCCAGCAGGCCCTTGGCTCTTTGCAGGGGCCTCACTGAGCACCCCATAGCCTTTCCATGCAGGGGTGCTAGTGGGAGGGGCCTCTGCCCAGGAAGCTGGTGAGGAGGCAGCCCCCACCCTCAGGAGCCCCGGTTGGGTGGGTTGGGTGAGGGAGTCAGGACAGCCAGGGAAAAAAGACAAAAGAACACTTACAAAGCATCCTACTTGCAAATTAATGGAGCGCAAACTCAAACTGCTCCAAGTGCTGAGGGAATGCACAGCGGTGGGGAGACAAGCTGTTGTGTGTGGGGCTGCGACCCAGCTTGCTACGCCTCTGGCCTCAGTTTATCTCTGCGAGGGGCCCACGGAGATGATGCCTCTGGGTTTCCTGCTAGGATAGGAGCGATGGGTGCCAGGCATGTTCAGGTGTTGCTCTCTCTGAGACCGCAAGAAGTGTCTGAGGTTAGAAGCAGAGGAGCCTCGGCTTCCAGCTCAGCCCAGAGCGTGGGCCTCCCTCTGTGGGGGCGCCCACTCCCCCCAACACACAGCCTCTCTCGCCCTGCACAGCTTCACTGTGTTGAAGAGGAAGCTAGTTTTAAACCCCAGGCTGGGAGATCAGCCTCTCTGCCCATAACCTCCCCAACTCAAAGGGAAATGCAGCAGCTCTCTGCCCCCAGCCCTGCATCTCTGGCCCTGGGGTTCACCATCCTCCCCACCCCCCAGCCTGGGGTTCAGACCATACCCTCCACTGTGGTTCTGGAGGCCACTCCTGCCTCCCTCATTCCTTGGGATCCGGGTCTTCCTTTCTCCCAGTCATTTGCACATCTCTCCATCTGCATATTTTAACTCCCCCAGCTGCCTCTCCAGTCCCTCTCTGCTGTCTCCCTCCCCTCCCCTCCCCCTGTCCTGCTGTGTTCGCTCTCCTGCTGCTCTGGGCTGGGACTTGGAGGCCCCTGTTTGGCTGCCGTCTCAGGCCTGCCTCCTCCCTGAAGGCCTGGGATTTCATGGATCCCCTTCCCCGTGGGGACTTCCACCAGCCGCCCCTAAGAGAGAAGCCAAGGTCACAGCCCCCCCATGGAAGGGATCTGTCTGGTGTCACTGCCAGGAGTTGCCAAAAACTGAGTTAATGGCCTGCCCCTCACCTGCCAGCTTCTTCCTCCCTGTCACCTTCCTTGCCATTGGAGCTTTGTTTCCAGGGACTTCACACCTTCCTGTCTCATTCCCCCTGCTCTAATCCCCACCAGGGACTGAGGTCCTGTTCACTGCCACTGGGACAGGAGGGGAAGCCCTTCCTTCCAAAGCCTCTTGAGAACAAGGCCCAGGCCCTGTGTGTAAGAGTGAGCCCTGTGTCCCACCTCCTTGCCCTGCTAGAGAAATTGATCCTCATTATAAAGGTCTCAGGGTCCATCTCAGCCTTTTTCCTGGCCCCTCCATGACTCGTGGGGAAGCCCAGGAGGCCTTGGGCCAAGCCCGTGGCTGGTGTGAGGCTTGCCTGGAGGAGCAGGAGAGGATGGGGCCCCTGGGCCGAGGTTGAGGGGATGGTCAGAGGGGCTTAAGCTTGTTAGACACCTTTGTCCTGCAGCTCTTGATGGTGTGGGCACTCCCTTCTCCAACAACTCAACTCAGGCTTAAGCCAGCAGCTGGACAGATGTTGGGGTCTGGGTCGGTGGGAAGGGCTGGAGGACAGCCCAGCCACCGGGATCTTCCCTCTTTCTGCACATAATAAGGGCAATAACAATGCACAGTTACTGAGCACTTACTATATCCAGGCCTTTTACTTGCACAGAATTTATAATTGGATCATATTGGTACCTTAGCAGGAACACCTGAGCCAGGGTTTCTCCGAAGTGTGGTTTTAGACTCCTGAGGGGTTGTTTGAAATGCAGGTTCCCGAGTGTTGTCCCCACTGAATCAGGATCTCTTGAAAAGGGGGCCCTTGGGAGTCTCCATTTTTAACCAGCTGCCTAAACACTAAGTCGGAGAACTGCTGCTCCTTAATGGCTATCTGCTCAAGGTCTGGTGCCCCGGGATTCTTGTCCCAGGACGTGGTGACAGTGTGGGGTTTGCTGCCCTCACCGCGCCGAGGCCCTGTCCCAGGAAGGCCTCTCACCTGCTTGTGGCCGCAGGCAGCCCTGCTCCAGTGGGGCCTGGGCGAGAGACCCGATTATACCCGCTTCTTACCAGAAGCCAGTCCTAGTCCCAGGGAAGCTGACACGGTGATCGAGGTCAGATTTAGCGCTCACCCAATGTCCCCTTGCAAATTGTCCAGTCATCCATCCTGCTGGCACATTCCGCCCTAGACCTCCCCAAGTACGATGCCCGGTGGTCGTCACTAAAGGTCCTGCTGGATTATACAGAAGCCTAAGGCTTGAATGGACAGCACAGTGAAGGCGTGTCTGCCGGCTGGCTTGGCCCCCACTCTGTCTGGTGAGCCCTCTTTGTCTCGGAGCTGGGGTCCCAGGGCCCGGAGGGAGCTTTTCAGTACCGTCTCCTGCCCAGGAATCCCATCTCAAAAGCTTGTCATGGAGAGTGGGTGCCAGCTGTGACATGCTGTGACAAAGGTGGCAAAGGGCCCTGAAGGCAGGAACCAGGAGCAGCACAGAGCTGCAGCCCTCACAGGAAGTCAGCAGTCCAGGCAGCAGCCCTGCTGGCCACCTGCGGGCTTGGCCTTGGGCAAGTCACTGCCCCTCTGTGTGGCTCTTGGATGGAAGCTGATGAAGTAGTCAACGGGGAATGTTCTCTTCCCCCCTGCAGAAGAGGGTCATCCCCTCCCGGTTGTGTGCATGTGTATTCATATGTATGCACATATGTGTGTGCATGTGTGTGCACATGCATGCATGTGTGTGTGTGGTTTGTTTCCTCCCTTGGACTTGGCACCTACTCTGGTTGGTTTGCTATTTCATCATGTCCTACCTTCAAAGGTGAACTTACTCTCCTGTGTGTCCCCAGGAACAGGGGCTGACAGCCTCCACTTTTGTCTCCCAAACATGTGGCCTTTTATGCACAGGGAGGGACCCATGGTGGGGTATGGGAGGGACCCCCACAAGTGCTCGTTATGATTTATGGCTGAGAGTTCGTCCAGCAATGTCCTTCGCGGCAGGGCTTGGGGGGCAGGGTGCCAACTGGGAAGACCCAAAGGCAGAATTCCACCACAGCTGTTTAGCTACGGGCTGGCACTGGCCCCCCAACCATGCTGCCCTGGTCCCGGGACTCTGAGTAGGACCCAGTGTGGTGACGAGGGGCCTGCTCACCCTGTCTCCGGGGCTCACGGGACTGCCTCCTCCTCTCTTGCCCACAGGACGGCTCTCCTGCAGGCGCGCCCCCGGCTGCTCCTCCCTGTGCAAAGCCTCGTGTGCCTGGCAGCCTTCGGCCTGGCCCTGCCTCTGGCCATCAGCCTCTTCCCACAGATGTCAGAGGTTAGTGAGGGGAGGGGCCAAAGGGGCGAGACAGGGAGGATGCAGTTAGGCCGTTAATTAACACTTGCTTACTGGGTGCTGACTTCGGAGCACTGGGCGGGGCACTGGGGCAGAACCGTGAATGGGACTGACCTCTCTGAGCTGAGGGGGAAGCAGTGAACACAACAATGAAATGGGCAATAGAAAACGAAGGATGAGGAGTGTTAGGATGGGACCAACTCAGCTGGATGTGGGAGGTGAGCCTAGAGGGAGGTGGCATTTCCTGGGGCCTGGAGGACGGGCTAGAGTTGGTCAGGTGCATAGTGGGTGATGGGGCACATAGGCTGAGGTCACCTGGGGTGAAGGTGCTGGAAGTGAGGCAGCACACAGCATGTCCCAGAGCGGAGGAAAATCTGCATCTCAAACAGAGAGCGGGGCAAGATGAGGTGGGTCAAGTAAAGGGGCCTGAGTTCAGCTCGTGCTGAGAACTTGGGAGCCAAAGCAGAGAGGTCGTTGTCATCGGAAGAGCTGTGCAAAGCAGGACCACAGTTTCCTGATTTTGAACGTCCCCATGGCTGCATTGTGAGGCAGGGCTGGAGCTCTGGAGGAGAAGCAGCCATCAGGAGGCTGTGGCGGGTGTCCAGCGAGCGATGGCGGCGGCTTGGACCAGGCTGTTGGCAGTGAGCATCAAGAGGAGTGGGTCCTTTCGGAGAGAGTCAGGAGGAAGCTTCATGAGAATTGGTGAACTGCGCGTGGTGGGAGCGAAAGGGGGCCGCAGGATGTGCGCCTGGCTTTCTGGATTTTAACAACGAAGCAGATGTAGGTTCTACGTGGCAAGATGGAGGCACAAGGAGGGGCAGGTTTGAGGGAGGACAGCGTGTTGAGTTGGATGGACAAGTGGGGTTTGAAGCGCCTGTGGGAACTTGGCTCCGGGTCTGGGAGACAGAAGTAGGGCCACCGACATAAAACGCAAAAAAACAAAGAAAAACAGTAATGAAATCAAAGACTGTAGGTGGATCAGCCAGCAAGCCTGAGGAGAAGAGAGGTCCCCGGGCTGGGGGTATTATCTAAGGACAAGTGACCAGGGTGGTAAGGACAAAGCCAAATGGGATTTTGGGGGCGGTGAGCCAATCACAGAGTCAGACGCTCCTGAGACATGAAGCTCCATGAAGTTGAAGAGTCTATTGGCATCTCAGACGGTGAAAGCAAACCCTGTCCTGAGGGGCAGGCCCCGCTGACGGGTGAGGACCCGGAATGGCAGCGTGGACCACTTGATGCCAAGGGAGAAAAGAGAAACAGACGTGCAGCTGGAATAAGGCGTAGGGTCAAGAGAGGCTTTTCTTTCCCCCTTATTTATTTATTCATTTTTTACTTTTTTATTGAATTTATTGGGGTGATATTGGATAATAAAATTATGTAGGTTTCAGGTATACAATTCAATACTACATCTGTATGTTGTATTGTCTGTCCACCACCTCAAGTGTCCACCACCCCTTCCATCACCATTCATCCCCCCACACCCTCTTCCGCCTCCCCCCACCCCACTTTTCCCTCTCGTCATCGCCATCCTGCTGTCTGTGTCTGCGTGCGCCCCTCTGTTTATTACAGCGCTATTTACAATAGCCAAGATTTGGAAACAGCCCAAGCGTCCATCAGTAGATGAGAGGATGAGAAAGCTGCATTACATTTTCACAATGATATACTACTCAGCTGTAAAAAAAGAAGGAAATTTTACCTTTTGCAGTATAGCATGAATGGGCCTGAAGAGCATTATGCTCAGTAAAATAAGCCAGTCAGAGAAAGACAAGTACCTTGTGATTTCACTTATATGTGGACTCTAATGAACAAAATCAACTCACTGAATAGAAGCAGACTCACAGATATCGCCTCCATTTTTAAACGGGAGAAAGTGGCACTGGCGTAATGCAAGAGGAAGGCACCAAGAGAGGCCTGGAGGACAGGGGGACAAGGAGGTGGGAGAGCAGAGTCCGTGAAGTAGGGGCGGGGAGAGAGCCCTCCTGCTTCAGGAGGGGGAGGCAGAGGCAGTGGGGCTCGCCTGGGGCTCAGGGGCGGGGAGGTTAAGGAAGTTGTTCTGATAGCTTCCGGTCTGTAGTCTCCTGACTGAGCTAGAGGGTGGGGAAGGGAAGGTCAGATATTTGAGGACTGGAGAAGGTTCTAGACATTCAGAGGAGCGAGGGGGAGAGACATCTGACCAAAGAAGTCAGAGAGCCTGACGGGCAGTGCAGGGGCTCAGCCGTTGGGAAGGCTGAGGAAGGGCACGGGCCGATGGCTGTGGGAAGGGCCTGCCCGCCCAGAGGTGCTGGGGGCCAGCTCCAGACCTGACCGCCGGCTCGCTCAGAGGGTTTTATCCCGCTGGGTGGGGCCTTTGGGAGGTGGGTAGGAGATCAAGAGAAGCAGCAGACCCTGGAGTCTGAGGTGAAGATGGGCGAGCAAACAGAGGAAAGCAAGTAGTGATGGGGAGACAGACCAGGGGTCAGAGTGTGAACGTGGTATTTGGAGGCACTGACGTCATGGGCAGAGGGGAGCCGTGGCTGGAGATGGGCACTTCTGGATGTGCAATTGCAGGACTGACCCAGCTCTGCCCTCGAGAAATGGCAGCGGGGTGCCGGTCCCCAGAGGGAAGTTGAGGAAGGTGAAAAGACAGGGTCTGGGGTGTTGGACCAGGGCTGTGAGGACTGGAGACCCAGGGTCTTACAGTAGGTGTTGGTGACCAACCTCTAGGCCCTGCAGTCCTCCGAGGGTAAGGACTAGAGTCACTTCCCTTCACTGAGCCTCCGAGTTTTGAGAGGAAGCTGTGAGATGATGGGGGTCCTGTCATGGGAGCCAAGCCACACCAGGATGGAAAGCCCGGTGTGTGATCTGTGCCGGCAGTACCCCCGTGCCCACAGGGCGCGGCCTTGTCATGAATCCGGGGACCCCCTTCCCGCCCTCTTTCCCACACCCCATGAAAGCCACACAGCTCTTACCTGATGATCAGGGCCTCCGACCAGGGCCCAGGGTTCCAGGTTTCCTGGAAGCACTGAAGATGGGAGGGAGGGCACTTCTCCACGGTCCTGCCATCTGCCTGCCGGAACGGCTGGACCTGGCACCCCCCGAAGCCACTGCATCTCTCCGCATAGGCACGCTGAGTCTGTGGTTCCAGATGAGGGCCCAAAAGCCCCATGCTCGGAGGCACCGCTGTGTTCCGAAGCTTCAGGCAGCTCTTGTGGCTCTACCTGTCTGCACAGGTGAGGGACTCACAGCCGAGAAACCCCAAGTACAGAACCCTAGGCTGTCCCTGTTGAAAGGAAGGACTTTAACGGTCACCCAGTTTACCATCCTGCTGGCTCTTCTGCGGAGATGGAGGCCCAGAGCAGCCAAGGGACCAGCTCAAAGTCACAGAAGCCAGGTGCTGATATGGGAGGAAACCCCAGAGACCACTCCCAGCCCAGAGCTCCCAGAAAATGCCACATCTGCTTGTTCTGTGGGATTTTTCTCTCCTTCCTCAACCACCAAACCTACGCAAGGTGAGGGGCGTGGAGAGAGGTGGAGCTGGGGGAGCCCTGCCGCGGGGAAGAGTCGAGGAGCGCGGTGGGTCTTCAACGGGTGTTCCTGTGGGTCAAGTGATGTAGAAGGGGCAGGAAGTGGCCTAAGTGGGCAGCCCTCGCCTCACAGAGGTTCCATGTCCAAGTCAGGCTCCTCTCTTCCCCATGCCTGCCTCAGATAGACAGTCCTTCGGGGTGTCTAACCAAAGTCCTTCTCATTACAACCCAGGCCTCTTTCTTTAGATTGGGGAGAATATAGTCATTGCATAATAAGACTGTTTCCTGGGAAAGGAGGGAAAGGATGTGATTCCAGAGCCCCCTCCTCACCTGCATCAACCCCAACAGGATGCAGGTAGGCTTGGGCATTATGGGGCGTTTGACAGCACCAAGGCCATCAGCCATTTGGCTGAGAGGACCTCGTTTCCCCCGATTCATCCTCCCAATTAATTCTGTCTAACGAGAAGCTGCTTCTGCCGTATGGGGATCATGTCTCACATCCCAGAAGCAAGTGGGATTTGCCACAATAAGACTGGACTTGCTTGAGCTGACCCAACCTTGCCAAGAGCCACCTAGGTTGTCAACAGGAGTAATCGCTGAAACACTAATTAATTAATTAGAGAACTTGGAAATTGCACTTAGGAACTGGTTCCTAACCTGGCTGGCCTTGGCGTTTGGCATGACGTTTTCAACCCACTAACCCCAGAGATTGGGAAAAGAACTTCAGTCCCTGAGCGCGAGTTTTGTCTGGTCTTTTCAAGTCAGTATTTCTGCCTATTGAAGTGGTGCTAATGTTAAAGTTAAAATCGCAAATAATAATAATAGCTACCATTTACTAAGCACCTACTTCCAGGCAGCATGCTGGGAAACTCTGCATGCCTTGTCGTGTTAAATCTTCCCGATGTCCTTCGAGTCCCAGGTATTACTGATACCAAGGGATGTTAACTAGACAGTTAGATGCATGCATCTCAGGCTTTGGGGAGAGATACTGGCTGGAGGCATAGAACCTTAGGTGCCCAGAGGGAACTGAAGTCGAGGAAAGAGTGAGGTCCATATCGGGGGGAAGGGAGAAAAGGCATCAGGAGCAGCCAGGGGCAGAGGGAGAATCCCAATGGAGTGGCTTCATGGGTGCTGAGGACAAGGAGGTTCCAAGGAAGAGGGGGCTCTCTGCAGGTGAGCTGCTGCAGAAGAAACTAGAAGTCGACGAGACTTGGAAACTGGGTGGTATAGCTAGACAAGGCAGTGTGGGAGGCAAAATTGTAGTCAAGTTTCTCTCTTCGTTTAAAGAAGTTGGTTCAGGGATGGGAAATCATTGGAGGACAGCAAACACAGTTTTATTCACTGGGTGTTCTGTGAGTTGGAGATTGGGGGCTGGAGGGAGGACAATGATGGGGTGCCAGAGTCCAGTAAGGTGAGAGGTCTGGTTGGCTGTGGTGGGGAAATAGGGGTCTAGAATGTGACAGTCCAGTGAGACAGGTA